CCCACCCACCCCGGACAGCCAAGCTATTTGTCCAACCCCCCCCTACCCACCCACCCCGGACAGCCAAGCTATTTGTCCATAAAACCCAAACTTCTTAGCCAGTTTTAGGCTATTCTTTATTACCCTGTGATTTGCTTTTTTTTTTTTTTAAGTCTGTCTTCGTTTATGCGAGTAGTCCGTGTCAGGTTGCCTACAACATTTCTTACTTTTGCGGGCATGGCCCGCACCGCCCGCACCGCGGGCGCTTAGCTAGTAGAGATTACAGACGATGGTGAAGAAAGTTACAATTGTGAACGGGATGCAGCTAAAATTGCGGATACGCAAGTCAGGGAGGGGAAGAGGAAACAGAGTAGGAGGACGTCCAGAAAGAAAGCTGCGAAACAAAGAAGGTCGAGAATTTAGAAAATTTTAGATAGTTCAAGAGAGGAAAAAAATCATGATGGACTGCAGCTCTCCGCAAGAGGGAGTATGAAAGATTTATGCCCAACTTTAGCAAAGCACACTGTACCTTGGCACCCACACATCTGAAGCCTCATGTCAGGAATCATCGAGAACGAAGCTTGTGGTGGCAATGAAAGGAAGATAAAATTGATAAATATTAAATAGATTATGACTAGGCTACCAGAGTGGCACGGGTCCACTTGCCCGGCCGGGCCAAAAAAAAAAAAAAAAAAGAAAAAAAAAATATATATATATTTTTTAATTTAAATTTTATTTTAAATTTGGTAAAGAATTTCGATGTGACCCTGAGGCAAAAGTTGTTCAGTTTATTTTTCTGCACTACATATGTTTTTTCCGATTTTTTTTTTTTTTTTTTGGCTGGGACCTTCCCTAGTCCTTGCACGGCTGGGCCGCCCGGGAAAATAGGGTGAACCGGGCGGCCCGGCTGGTAGCCTAGGATTATGATGATTATCTACAGAGGAGTGGATGGGAAATCTGGACGTTTATATAAACGGGTGGAAACCAGGAGGCAATTGCGAATCTTGGAATTTTGGAATTTTGGAATTTTGGAATTTTGGAATTTTGGAAGTCTGGAACTTTTGGAAATTGGAATTTTGGAATTTTGGAAATTTGGAATTTTGGAATTTTGGAATTCCGAATTTTGGAATTCGGAATTTTGGAATTTTGGAAATTTTGGAAAGGAACCAGCATTTGAGAACGCAATTTTTTTTTCGAGATGCAAGAACTCCCCGAAGACCATGGATAAGTAGACTAAACTGAAGGCAGATTGACTAGGCCGAGAGCACACCAATTGAAGAAAACACGGGCAATACTGACATCTCTTGATAAGCAAAGCCCTCTTCTCGCCTCCAAAAATAAATGCAACGACTGAGTAGGAGCCCTACTCTATGATGTGTCCGCCTATACTACTTCCCTACTGTAGCCTACCGTCTAGCCTCCTCACTCTCTGTCCACAACCCTCTCGCCAGATGCCGCTGAAGAGTCTGATCACATAGGTGCTCTCCGGCCACACACCAGGTTAATATCTGCCTGTCCCCACAGCCGCTCCTTTCCCAATGACCTCCCCTCCTGCTCGGCACCATCTCCCTCGCACTGTGCTGCCCCCAGCTATGCCGAGTGCATGTGTGCAGCTGGTTGCAAGCGCTCTCACAGCGCTGCCACATGCTACTGCCCTCGCCCAATGTGTCTCCCTCTGCCCTGGTCTTCTCTTTTGCCTTGTTTGCCCAGGAGGCGCACTCTCTGCCCCGTCGGAATTGTGTCCAGCCGGGTCCCTATCGGGTCAGGTGGTTAGCTTGGTCGCGGGCCCCGACTTGGGGCCTACCGGCAACTACCTGTGCAGACAGACCGACCGACGCCCCCGACAGTTGCACCTGCTGCCTTCACTTAGGACCGTGGTGACCTCAGGGCCAACATCGAGCATACAACATACAACCCGTCTCGAGTATATGACCAGTTTTAGCTGGGAACTGGTCATATACCCAAGACTGGTTGTATATATTCCAGGTTATTAACTCGAGTTTGTAACCTAGTTATAAACTCAGGAACTCATGGACTGGTGTCGAGTATAACTAGGCCCCCAATGTATGCTCTTTTCCTGAGTTTGTACCCTGGTTATAAAATCAGGAACCAGTTTTCCTGGCTACAAACTCAAGAAAAGAGCATGCACTTTACAGCCCAGAAATGGAAAGACCACCTCAACAACTACCCGGCCAGATTCTTTCAACCGTGACTTTGGCACATCAGATCTTGGAGGAGGCTCAATGTACAGTCTGTGCGAAAGTGTTTGTAGCTATCGACCTTGAGAAAGCGTACAACCGGGTCAGGTGGGAGTTCCTCTTGCAGGGGATGGCACGCAGAGGGATTGGAGGCATCTATCGGGGGTGGGTTAAAACCATGCTGACGGGAGCAGCGACGGTTATGCAAGTCAATGGCGTCAGATCTGATAAGCTCACGATAGCGAGATCGGTGCGGCAAGGGTGTCGGCTATCCCCCGCCCTCTATGTTATATACATAGAGTCATTGCATGACATTCTGCGGGCGGATGATCGACTGCTCAGCATGAAGGCTGGCCCAGCGGAACTACAGTCCACTGCCTTTGCAGACGACACAGAGCAGTGATCCCTCCGACGACCCAGCAATTACTTATTTTGAAAGAGGACCATGGGGGGGGTCGAACAGATGGCGAGATGAGAGAGAGAGAGAGAGAGAGAGAGAGAGAGAGAGAGAGAGAGAGAGAGAGAGAGAGAGA